TGCACCTGACCCAATTGATGCGAGCTGATTGGGTCATCAGCTCATGAATAATTAATGAGTTTGAGAAGCTGTGGAGGAAACTCTTTCCCTTTATGCATGATCCGCATCCATGGGTTGAAGGTATGATTACCCTTTAATGGTATATTAAAAATAATTATCCCCAGCTTTATCCATAGGACAGTACTCGTATTTGAGCAAAGCAAGTGAGATGCACCAAGCTGGTATAAGGGGTTCAAATGTTTGGGCATATTTTAATGTACCTATCTCATCCTTGCACGCTGTAACATATCTTCATCCTCATTTGTATTCACTGTGTATCTTATTCGCATGGGAATAATTCAAGTGAAAAGTGTTGTAGGTGTGAATAAGGTAACACACGGTAGTATTTCTTTTAAAGGACGAGCTGAGACAACAAGCGAAGTCTTGAAGTCTATTATGGCCATTTATCTTTTCCGGAAGAAGATTGCTGACCTGAGACGTTGTGAGAGCAATCCTGCAGATTTTTTCCACAATTTGTATCAGCCAGAAAAAGATGCAAATGGTGAGGTAGTCCACTATCGGGAAGATCACAATCATCTTCTCAAACGCATCATTACTCGTCTTCGTGAAGGTTACATCCCAGGTCTCGATTTACGATCCTTGCGAGATGCATTACATGACGCATCAACTGGGTTGACCTATGAAGCCCTTACAGGGAAGAACAAACAGTCAGTGCCTGATTGTGAACGCCTCATCAATCCTGGTGTGATTGCATTTCTCGAACGGAAAGGTGATGTGAGTGGTGCCCATGTCATTAAGCGTATCCATAACTGGCATAAGGCAGTTGATGGGAGAGGGCTCTCTGAGCATCAAAGGTCAGCATTCTGCCAAGATATGAAGGAGTGGCTTTTAGCAGATTGGATGTCATGGTTTCGTACCATACCAGATTACAGCACTATTGATGTGAACAGGTAATATGATGTGAGTGTACATTTACAAGAAAAATGGTTTGAAGACAAGCTGTTTATTTAACTCTTTCTTAGGGAAATTATTCTTAAAGCAACATATATCTATGTGCTATTGATGTCCAGTTTTTTCCTTGGTTCAAATTTTATTTTCCTTTTTTTTTTTCTTGTATGGTAGTTATCTCTTATTACTTAGCAGGAGGTCTGTATGGGAGAATCTTGACCAAAATTGTGAGTACAGTTCGACCACAGTGAGGTCTGTACACACGCCCTAGGTAATTTTAAAAAAGAAATGATAAAGTTGAACCACAAC